TGGTGAGTGTGTCTGCGGTATCGTTCTTTTCCCTCTTGTATTGTCTTTGTGTATTGCGCAGGTAGGTTCGACCGTAAGGGTCGGGAACGGTAAAGTTAGTTTGTTTTTTTTTTTTTTTTTTTTTAGGTACGCCACAGGTTGCCTGCCGCGCCTCCACCTTTTCACTGTCACTCACACGCCATGGATAAAACGGGGGTGTTTAACCGTCTGTTGTTGCGTTGGGTTCGGCACGCGTGGTTGGTAGTCTTGTGTTGAGGGGATTTTTTTTTTTTTCACGCCTGTGCGAGAGGCTGGAGGCATCGACTGTTCCCTCACCTCTTCGTTCTTGCTGCTTTCGTGCTTGACTGGATGCTGCGCCTCAGAATGCTTCTGCTGGGGGCTACTCCTGTTTCGCGAGACTGAGAGTTGAGCACGGTCGATGCTTTAGGGTGTGCGCCTTCGCATGTTGTGCCCTCCTTTTGGCTGTTAATAACCCACACCTCGCAGCGCCGCGTGTCTGCGTGGATGGGAGGAGGAGTGGCGGCCTGCATTTTTGGGGGGCCACCCAACGCATCTTCCCGCGCCGCCTCGTTTCCCCCCCAGCCAGACCCCAATGTAAGCGGCCGTTTTCTGCTGCTGCGGCCGCCAGGGAACGATTCCACCGGGGCTGCTCATGCGAGGCGTGCGCGTGTTTTATTTTCGCATCCTTTTTTGGCGACCGCTGTGTGGCCCTTCGGTGAACGCGCTGTAGACCACTCCTCAGAGAGGGCGGTGCGGCCAGCACTGGGAGAATCGTGGGCGACGCGACACTGGGATTTTTTGGGGGCTTGGAACGAGCGCGGAAAGGTGCGTCTGCGATGGGCGTCGGACTGCGCGACGCACGCTGCTGGCTGGGATTCAGGAATTCAAAAGAGAACGGAAAAAAATAAATAAATGCGCAGCTGCCGCGTGGTTGCCGCGACGGCCAGTTAATTGTGCGACTGCGCACGTCAGCGTCTGTTGTGGCGCCGCGGTGGTGGAAGGGCGTGTCTCCCACTTGACGCTGGCGGCGGTCACTGCGATGATGCCGAGTTGCACGGGACGAGAACACACTCAAGATGTGAAGCTTTTTGCCACGGCTCCACCTGTGCCTTTAAGCTGGAAGCTGACACGCTCCTCGTCCTTCTTTTTTTTTTTCTGTTCTTTTGGCGAGTGACGGCTGCCGATGCTGTCACTTTGCTGCCCCACACGCCGTCACACATACGCACACACCCTTTTTTCTGCGATGAGGACGAAACGTCGTCATGGGCACGTGGTGGGGCTGCGTCTTTGTTTGGCGGTGACCCTCCGCAGGCATCGTGATGTTTCCCGCCTATGCCGCACGATGCTTTGGGTGAAGGTTCATGGGTTGCGCTGGAAAGGGAGTAATGGACAGAGTGGCCTGCCTTCGAGCAGTGTGGATGCTCTGCCTTCAGCGGAGTGTAAAGTAAATATGGCGGTGATTTGCCGTCGTGTGGGATTGGGGGTGCCTGTGCGTGAGGTGTGCGCCGCGTGCCGTGTGTGTGGCCTTTTCTCTTTTTTTGTTGTTGTGGCTGCGTAGGGTCGTGTTTGTGCATGTTTTTGGCTTTTTTTTCATTCTCCCTTTTTTGGCTAGTGGTTAGTATTGCTTTACAACTTAAGCCAACAATCACTACAAAAGGACAACAAGTTCCAGGAAAACATGTCGGATAGATATAGGGAAGAATCTCACCCCACCGAGGAGACCCCCGCACAGCGCCGAAGGGTGGAAGGAGCGCCGCAGCGGCCAAGGTGAACGCTATCGAGCTCTATCGAGGATGCCCGTAATGTACGGGTTGGTCAAAGCAACGGAATTTTGCTGAACGACTTCCTTCGGCAGTACATTGGCCCCAGCAGAGCGGTGGGTGAAGACCAAAATGTGGCGATGGAGGTGTTTGTGCAGCAGCCCGCAGAATACGTTACAGAGCAGAGACGTCGTGAGGGAATCCTCGATTCCACCAGGGTATCAGCTTTTGGAAGATGCACGCAAGCTTACGGAGCGCGTGGTGGGCACGCTCCGAGACTGGAAGGAATTTACAGATAAGGAGTATTGTCTCTGCTATTACACGGACAAAACTGAAGGCAGCTCTTCAACTAGCGTAGGAGGAAGGGGCAACACGGGAAACCGAAATACGCCCCAGAGGACCATCGCCGGAGGCATTCTACGAGTCCGTGTTTAACGCAACGTGGAGTCACGTTGTGGGATTTCCCGAGGACGAAGGGGAATACATGGTGGTGAGAGAGGGCCAACGGCCACAAGAGTTATGGGAGTACACGCAGACTGTGCGTACTTTTTTCTCAGTGGGTGGTGAAGAGCAATTCTATCCACCACGCCCACGACTCATGATCTTTTCCTCTGAAAAGCGATGACCGTACTCGTTGAACCATTCATTGCCTATTGCCGACTGCTGAATTAATATTGAGGTGCATCGGGTGTGGAGGATCGTCGGGGGCGATCTAAAAGGAGTGTTTCCCCCTCCAGAGAGAGACGCACCTAAAATGGGGTGTCGTCTTTCGATTGGAACCCCCGGGGTAGGGAGGCCAATGGCGGCTGACTCCTACCTCCTTCATCAGCTGCTGCACTACGACGCCACGAAGCTCCATGTGGTTGTGTACTGCTTTGGAAGGGATTTCGCATACTTGTTTGACAAGAGGACACAAACGGTGGCAATATACGCGGGTGGGTGTAATATTGGAAGGGCTATGATAAATTTGGCTAGGAGTGGAATGAAGGGGTATATTATCATCGATATGGCAAGACAATTTCAAGAGCCATCGAATGATGTTGTGCCCTCCCCTGAGTGGGGCATCATTATGTTGTCGTCCCCGCACGAAGATAACCTGAAAGCATGGACGGAGCAGGCGGGTGCTATCAAAATCATCATGAATTGCCCCGATGAAAATGACGTGAAGGCGATGTGTGCGTGGGAGACACGCAATACGACTGAAGAGGAGCAGGTGGAGTATTGGAGAAGGATGCACATGCACATGGATGACGTCGGACCGATTCCACGATGCATCTTCGATGATAATAAATATAAAAACCGCGTGGAGGAAATCAAGGACATACCTGGCAGGTATCGACGCTTCAAATGCTGTACATTATGGG